ATCTCGCGGAAATGAGAATCGATCAATTGCATCTAATTGATCTTTTGGCAATGATGACTTTCAACTACGATGAAGAGATTCGAAACTACTGCCAATGGTAAAAACAACATGATATTCATCACGTAAACTAGAATAACATTTATTAACAACAAACACACCACCCCCAACCCCAAATCCCCTCCAGATCCCCCTTCCAAACTCTCATCACTTCCTCTCCACCACTAAACGGTACTCAAACTTCCATTCAAACAGTAAGCAAATATCCAGTCCAGCACCGCTATATCCTTGAGAAAAGTTTTTTTCGTTGTTTTCCATGATTTTACTGATGTGCACTTCTTCTCCGAGCGACATTTATAGAGTTCGTCTCCCCGCATGTTCGTTTATCTTCTCTATATAATCCATTAACTTACCAATTCACTCTGCAACCTTCCTCTCTCCCTTGAGTACCCCCGCTCTTCATCTTCTCGCTCCACTCTGTCCTCCCTAACCCCTATTCCCTAACCAACCACCAACTTCAGCCAAAAGCTTCCCAGTTCATTTCCTCTCACCTCCTATACACACACACACCTATCCACATACAGACCAACCGAGTACACAAACCCCCCTCGAATTCCCATCCACACAAACCCGTCATCGCAAAACCAAAAACTTTAACTCAAAGCTCCATAGGGCTCAATCTGTGTATGGTACCTTAATCCGCATCTCAGTTCGCCTCATCCACACCTTATCCATACCCCAATACACACCTCGATTCAATCTCAATTCATACATCAAAACAAACCAAAACTCTTAACTCCCCCGCGAAATACAGAACTCGAGTCCCAATCACAACACATTAGTTACTATTACCAAGGTAAGCAAGGGCTAAGACTATCGGGATTCATTACCTATCCAGCTAGCCACCTAGAATAACATATAACAAATAGATTGAATATATAGAGATTTTTATTGCCGAGATTGAAATGTTGAGATTTTATAATACAACAATGCTATAAACAGAAACAGAGAGGAAATCTCATAATAAACGACAACAAACTTTGTACCCTCCCCCCCATCCCTTTCGAACAAAAATATCCATCATCTATCTAACCCTTCAAACCCTCAAACCACACACACACTACTTCCGCCTTTGAACCTTTGAACCTTTGAACCTCCAAACTACCACGAAAAAATTGATTCTATATTGATGATCCTTTCGTGTAGTACTGCCGGATGGGTGTTCTAACCTACAGGATTGTTATGCTATTTATACATATGAAATTTCTCGATTTCCAGATGTCCCGATATATAATATATCAAATAATCTATTGATTACCTAGTCAATCGAATACTTAGGTATTCACGCATTTGGATTGTTATTCACAATCACCTCAAATCTACCAACTGATTCACCTATTTTCTCTCCATCTCCGATATCATCTCTCGACCCCATTTCCATATATTCTCTATCCTCACTCTCTATCCTCTCTCCTCTCTCAATTTCCTGCCCTTCTTCTCCACACCCTTATTCTCTTCACGCCATCCTCTCAGAACTAGAACCCTAATTCCATACATCCCCATCTCCTACATCCCATATCCCTACACATATCCACGCCCTCATTCTCCTCCTATTCACACTCTCAATCTCCTCCAACCCCTCGCAATCCCATCCCCCACATCACCATCCGCATGTCTATCCCCTTACATACTCAACCATCTCCACTCCAATCATCCCCCATTCCCCTAGCCTCAAATACCCCCTGCCCCTACCCCTTTCCCAGAGGAGTAAATAAACCCTCCCTCCCCACAATCACAACCCCAAAACCACCCACCAATCCAACATCGAATCCAGAGGGATCATCCAACCTCGTGCAGACATCTACTCGAATTTCCAAGCCTACATTACACACAGTTAACATCTACCTACCCACCTACCCACTCTACAAATCTAACCCCCACATCTATATCCATCCATACCACCTCAAAGCTCAATCTCACCACACCCAACACCACATCTACACAACACACCTACCTACCTACCTACCTACCTACACCTTATACACCAACAACGAATGAGATTCTTCCACACCATCCCATCTAATCTCTAGGAATCCAAAGAAAGAACAAGAAATACAGTATAAACAAGTATAAGGTGAATATTGATAAGCACATGAGATCAGCTAGGATGCGTGTGGAAGCGTCGTGATTATCGCTGTGGTTGACATCGTCTAATGCCAAGATATGGAAAATCTTCGATAGGAATCTTCGATTGACGTGGAGAGGATAGAGCGATGTGATGGTATGGTGGTGTGATGGTATGTAGATAATGCGGTATGTAGAAATGAAATGATAGTGGTAAGGGGATCAAGGACAACAAACACCGTTTAACCTTACGGTGATTTGCCGAATACAAGTAAGACTTACAAAATAGCGACTGTTCACATCTGGATCCGTACGAGATATGCAATAGGTTGATACTTCAATCAATTCATTCTCCTTTCTAAACTTCTATATTGTTTCTCCAGCTAATTACCCAGAAAAGAAGATGATCGTATATTTCATGGAATAATTCTTTACATTACCATCCCCCTCTTCTCCGCTTAATCCTCACCACCCAAAACTCTCCTCGGATCCAAACTGTGAATATCTGCACTCTTTGCTTCCCCCTCAAAAACAAATTCACTCATCAATTTTCCAGTTGCACAACTATTCTGAATACCCCAACATGTATGACCTGCTGCTAAGAAAAGTCCTCGAATACCTGTGTGACCAATTAAAGGACCACCGCCACTACTAGCTAATGGAAGATAACATGCTTGTCTAGCTAAGACTTTTCCTTTTCGTAAAGGATCGGATATCGATCCTACATAATCTAAAATATCATCGCAACTAGATTCATCGCATACAACTAGATTTGAAGATTTAGGGAGAGGAATTCTCTCATCTCCTTCACCTGTAGATATATTGTCAGGCCTAATCACAATGTAAAAAAGAAAAATTTACATACCACAAGCATATACTGTTCCATCAGGTCTAGCATACATTTCCGGATTAACCATCTTATCATGCTTTCTCTTCTTTGCTCCATCCTCACTTTTTCTTCCAAATCCTTTTGGTAAATCGATTTCCGTGAAGACTGCCCAAGGAGATACTTCCGCTTCAATCACAACACTATGTGCTCTTTGTGAAGTAATTGGTGCTTCCGGCCATACATGACTTGTCCAAGGTCCAGCAGATAATATAACATCATTCGCAGGTAACATGTGAATATGTTTCGTCTCCTTATCTTCATAAGTAACACCCTTTACACTATTTCCCGTATAATCAATTGCGGTCACCGAACCATAAATAATTTCGACACCTTTTTCCACGGCCAAATCTGCCATTGAAGTTGTAAATTGATATGGATGTACTTGTGCTGTTGTGTCTGGAGTACCCATTTCCGAATACCATTTTAAATTATCATTTTCGAACCAATCCAAAGTCGATGGAATATCATCTCCCTGATATTTCTTTTGTTTCTTCATATCAGTTTTGGGTAATTTTTTCCAAGCTTCTCCTTCATTTTCCGTGGGTTCTTTAGGATCCGCTTCCGCGATCAATCGTGCTTTGGCCCCTATGGAACCACAATGTAATTGACGATATCCCCATCTCTTTGCCCCATCATGTTGTTTTGCCAGTTCGGCATGAAGTTTGTAGGAAAGAGGTACGATGGATGCTGGGCGTGCCCATAATGCAAGTAATCCACCTGCTTTTCCTGAAGCTGCGGATGCGATGGATTGAGCTTCGATGATGGTAATTTTTGTGGTTGAGGGGTTATATGAGGGGTGGCGAGTGAGGTAATAGGCAGATGTACACCCAATAATTCCACCACCTATTTAGAAGTCAATATGGATGTGTGGAATTGATAATAATGAGAGGAACATACCAATGATTACAATATTTCGTTTCTTTTCCGTGGGAGAAGTGGGAGAAGTGGGTGAAGTTGCTGTTGCCATTGTTTTAATCCAGTGGTCGGAGTGTTTCTTGAGCATAATAATGTTTATACAAATAGAGTTTCACGATGAACAGGTGCTGAGGAGCCGTGCTGTGGTAGCTTGAGATACCTAGCTTGAGATAGCTTGAGGTGGCTTGAGAAAGGCTTGAGCTTAGAGTTAGATAAGACCCTTATCTTAGCCTAAAATGCACTAGGCTGTTTTTACTTAGTCAGCTGATGGAGTAGTCAGTCAGTAGTCAGCCAGTAATCAATCAGTCGTCAGTCAGTAATCAGTCAGTAATCAGTAGTCAGCCACTAGTCAGCCAATCAAGTATCAGTCAGTCAATTAGCAGTCAACCAGCTCGAGCCAGTAATTTAGTAACAAGCCAGTCATTCCATTCCCACGTGAAAATACTCACTAGCTAGTAATGCTTGCTTTTGCTTTTGCCGCTTCACCATAACCGTTTTCATCTTCGGCATTTCCCAGCTAAATCGACTAATCTAACCTCGGTATAAATATTACCATCTCCACTTTATATTCAGATATACTTAAAAAATGACTAATTCTAACCAATCAAACCCCGTCATCTTCCAATTTCGTAACGGCATCAAAATAAATCCGAAATCCCTTCCCTTGCCTCACATTCCCCCCCTCTAACCCCAAAACCTCTCTCAGACCCCTCACAATCCCATACAAAAGCTGTACCATCTAGACCTCCACAGCCTTCACTCTCTTACAAATATTCGCATTCTTCAAACGTCATCCGATCTCTTGATGATATCCTTACACATACCCGTACACATACCCGTACACATACCCGTACACATCCCATCCAAAGCGATTCGATCCATAAGGTTACGAAACCTTGATAAAACCCACTTCCCCTCACAATTTCCATCTTCTTTCTCTCCTCCATCATATAACTTCGTCGCATTCCCTCGACGAAGTTCCTCATCATCCAATATTTGGACTTCACGCAAAACAGATTTGACTTTGAAGAAACATTCGCAGAATTACGTTCAACAACATATTAGAAATATTACCATGTCGTCCGCAGCTACCATTTATGAGTTTGAACCCTTGAATAGTATGTTACCCTCTCTGCATTTCATTGCATTGCATTGCATCGCATTCCATTCCATCGTATCTCATCGCATGCCATCCTTCTCATCACATCCATCCATCCATCCCATCCTTCTCATCACATCCATCCATCCATCCATCCGTCCCATTCTTGCATACATTCTACCCCTCATATTCGCACATCAGCAATCTTCATCATCATCATACTAACCACCCTCCCCTCACAGAAAAGGGCGAACCAACACCCCTCTCAGATTACAAAGGCAAAGTCCTCTTAATCGTCAACACAGCTTCCAAATGTGGTTTCACTCCTCAATATGAAGGACTCGAGAAACTATACAAAGACATGAAGGAGAAGCACGGTGATGATTTTGTCATCTTAGGTTTCCCATGTAATCAATTCGGAGGTCAAGATCCAGGTTCTGATGAAGAAATTCAAAGTTTCTGTCAAATTAACTATGGTGTTTCTTTCCCAATTGTACGTTGTCGCATATCTTATATCCTAGTTTTGATATTTCATCTATTCTGGATATTTAATCAATTGGATCGAGACTAACAATTGCCACAGATGAAAAAAATCGACGTCAATGGCGATAATGCAGCTCCTCTCTTCCAATGGCTCAAATCGGAAAAACCAGGTCTCCTCGGTCTTCAACGTGTAAAGTGGAATTTCGAAAAGTGGTTGGTTGGTAGAGATGGAAAGGTTAAGCAAAGATGGGCTTCCACAACTAAGCCAGAAGCTTTGGAGAAAGCAGTCACAGAGGCTTTAAATGATGCCAAGTCTGAACTTTAGAGGGGGTTGAAAAGTGTGTGGGTGCATGATTGATTGCGAAGAAGATGAGAAGTTTTTAGGACATTCTCAAATGGGATATGATTGTTTGGTGTTGGTCATTTTGAGAGGCGGAAATCTGATTTATTCGTCGTTGTGAATTTTGTATGCGGAGATTATACCATAGAATAAGAAAGCTTTTTTTTATTTGATTTAGGGATTGATATATCTTTGTCTGTGTAGGAGATGTTGTGTATGTGAATACTAATTTGTATGATCATTTATTCATCATCACTCCCACATTTAGATAATCCAAAGTAAAGAGGCGGATTCAAGGTGGACCCCTTTCTCCCCTCCTCTTTCCATATTTCTTTCCATATCAACTCCCCAGCTTCTTGCTACTTTCTACACTATCGCGAGTCATCGAAAGATGGGAAGATTACGAGGTGGAGTCTCCTCTTGCTGGGTGGGCGAGTAGGTATTGTATGGCTTTCTGGAATGATCTTTCTAATGTTGAAGGGGTTTGGTGGTTTTGGTGGTGATTGGTGGTGATTGTTTGTTTGGGGGAGAGGAGAGGGGGAGAGGAGAGGGGGAGGGGGGGGTTTGCTGTTATTATATTGTCTTGTTGTTGATATGGATATTGTGATTTGATATTGTGATTTGATATTATATTCGAGTACTGTTGTTACTCAATGTGTGTTCTTGTTATTTATTATTTTATTATTGCTTTGATATGGTGTGTGGTGTGTAATGTGTAGTGTGTAGTGAGGAGTATGGTGAGGAGTATATGATGAGGAGTATATAGTGTATGATATATGATAATAATATATAGTATATAATATATAATATATAACGTATAATAATGTAGTTTATTAGTACATATATTATATTAATGTATATACTACTTCAAAAATATATTAAAATCAAGCTTTTCTTAATATTTATATTTTAATAATTAATCCTTATATTATAATATTATATTATAAAAGGAATATTATGAATAATCGAATTATTATGATTGATATTATAAATATATTTAGAGTTTGCTCTTAATTGGAAGTATTTGTTTATAAAGATTTGTACTTTTTTATATTTGTTATAGCTATATAGCTTTTAAGACTATACAATTTCGTTATTCTAGGTAACTCTTTTATTACAGCTTTATTGATCTCTATTTCGATAAGTGTTTTGATTATGAAATGCTTCTTTCGAAAAGCATGTTGCATGTCGTAAATCCAGGCTTTCGAGCTATTCCTGTACTTGGATACTGCCTCCAGTATTGGCTCCTGGCTGGTCTTATCTTCAATGGCGAAAATTTCTAACACCGCTTGCAGATCTTATAGGGGTTTGAGATGGTTTCCTGGGGATGGGATGGGGATGGGGGATTTGTGGGGGTGGTGTGGTAAGTAGTTAGGGTGCGGATACGGGGTTCTGTGAAGAAAGGAATTCTGACTCCTGAAATCATTAGTCCCAAGGAAGCATATAAAAGGCTGCTGCCGACTGCATGGTAGAAACAAGATGTTCTCTATACTTAACTTGTGGGCATAAAGGAGTAGAGAATTCGAGCAAGAGTGTGAGACATGAATTCTTTCTTTCTTTCGTTTTTCTTCTTGGCTTTGGGTACCTAGGTAGATTATCGTATTGCTTTCTTAAGAGATTTCCAGATTATGTTGTCGTTTAGAAGTTTCGATTCTGGATGATTTTTGTTGTTACTTTCCTATGATTATCCTCTATTCACCATACTGTCAGTTTGACAACACCTACTTATATCTCTCCGTTTTCCCATTTGTATTATACCGAGCAGTCTCAGAGAATCAAGTATCTCCAAGTCATTCTCCGTACCCTGATTGGATTTGCATGTAGATTGCCTCAGAATTGTCTATCGTTTCGAAGTTGATGAAGAGGTAATTTTATAACCCGAGGACTACACGTTGATGTATATAAGATCATGCATGTGATTCGCTATTTTGTACATATTCGAAAATCAGTAGGGTTTGCAGGTGTTCATTATTCATCTTGCTGAGTCGATGGAGTGAATCACAAATATACACTCCCCGCTTCTTTTCTAACAATTTCGCACTCTGTTCGTTATTACGCAAGAAATTCTGAAAAGAGAGGTATATAAAAGACTGCATTCTCGATCACTGAAACGTAAGTCTTAGATACACGCTTCCCTACTAATCTAGGAAAGCACAGTGTCATAGTATGGCGATTCTGCATCTTAAACGGAATGGATGTGTATGGGTTGGAAAATCTTCAGATACAACCGATTTACTTCGCAGTAACCAATAACTTTCCAATCTCTCTTCGTAATCCAAATCTGCTGTTGATACACATTTAATACCGCATTCAATGGAAGGACGGTGGTGATCTACATTTCTTTGTTGTCAAAGATATCACAATCTCATTTGCTCGCAACGTAACTCACTGGAATTGTCGAAGCTTGAGATTCAATGATATCTAGAATTATAGATATTGAGAGTGGGCTATTCAAACACTCGTCTCTCAAAAATGGATGTGAATAGCTTTTCGTGTTTGATTTTCTGTTTGTGCTTAAGCTTTGAGGTGTTTTTAACCTTATATCATCGCCGTGAGATTTCTCGCTTAGAGGCTTAGAGCAGATAGGTGATCTTACCAAACGTTAGTATCAAGGGAGTGAACGGCGAGAGGCGGGGTAAGTAAAAGAAATATTTAGATTGAATGGGCGAATTGGAATGCGTCATTGTCGAAAACCTCCACCATATACATTAAATTAATCTCAGATATTCACCCTTCCACTATCTCACCAATTCGCCATTTTATCCCCTGCTGTCTCAGCGGCTCTACAGATTTTCTCATAGAATGTCCAGACCAAAGCTATATAAACTTCAGATTTGTAAAGCTCGCTCCGGCGTTAAAGGGAAACAATGCTGATTATTGTTGAGATCTCATCATTGGTCATATGCGTTATCGTTGTTATTCAATGATTCTTTCTGTGATAGATTGCAGATCATAATTTTGCCCGAAAACATCTTTTCGAAATCTGTATTAAAATTTGATTCGTTTACGGAGATTCATACCAGCATATCAACATAAAAGATCGCAATCAGGCCTGAATCCTGAGACGTGGCTTCAATTCCTGAAATCATCTCGTTGGGTTGCTTTTTGGGATATACTTTCTCCGAGCGATAAGTTGGAAGGTATCTATACTATCTATAGCTGCGATCGTGATACTTCGAAGTATGAGGTTCATCTTCTGCGGTATGGATAGGTTCTATGGTTGGATTTGGGTGGAGGTTTATACTCCGCATGTGATTCTTGAGGTGAGATAGCTGTTCTACACTATTGATTCTCCATTTTGATTTTCATTTTCTATCTAGTGCTCGCTTTGTTTTGCCCTCTTGCCCTGCTTTTCCGCTGACTCTGGATCCGCCCCCTCACTCTCACATCACTTCTCATTTTCCCTTCAGACCCACAATTAATATGGGAGTTGTTTTCAATAATGGATTATATAAACATCCTCCCTCATCAATTTACAAACTATACATACCATACAATGATATCACGAAACCGAAGGAGATTTTGCAGGTGGATTCTCCGTGATGAGTAATATATTGTAGCACTCTCCCGGGGTATAAAACCCCAGAATCTTCACGTCGTTATCTGAAGTCTTTAAGGGAAGATGCCACTTTTTTGTTATCGCTAATCGGGAGTCTGTTGTCGTTAGTTTTGAATCAGAGACTGTCATCGTTTATGTATTTATATCAGTAAATTCGACAACAATTTTGCATTGTATCAACCAAAGCGGATTGCAAAAGCAAACATGAGATCAAGAATACTCGTCCCAACGCAATTAGCCAAACTCGCTTATTCTCATGTTGTTTACACGTCAAACAGGATCTTTCTTTTCTATCACCTTGAGAGTTTCGTTAGAGATTGATTCTCTTCGATGAGAAAATTGAACAGGAAGATATTTCGTGCTTTTTATATTTAGGAATTGGGCTATTCACAGAATTTCAAGCACATTATTTTCATGCAGTTCATGCAACGGTATTTTAAATTACTAGAATGGACTCTAAGATCGATCTAGAATCTATTCACAGATTTGGATCGACACAGGTCACTTCTCCCACCTGGCGAATGTCTCTTTCTTGGTATATAAAGAAGTATTTCTTCCACTCTGAGACTTCAGACGTCGTGAGAAGTCTTCTTTGTAGGAAAAGGGTGGCGTACTAATACATTTTAATGTCCATACATATTCCAAGTTACTAGGAAAATGTTCTCCAACCAATCAACCAACTGCCTCGACCCGAGCTCGTATTCTTGCTGTCGAATTCCCACTTATCACATCAATCCTGCTTTTTTTGTCAATACCTTCAAATATCGACGCTCTAAACCCTTAGCTTATAGAAAAAGTCTAGATCCTTCCATTCTCATTCTCATGCGGGTGAACACGACCGACACTTTTCTACAAAACTCGCTTGTTCTATCCCCATCTCAATAGCCACTATAGATATAACTTTTTCTATTACTTCCTATATTGCCTTTCTCACTCTTAGCTCTCAGGTATGCTTTTATAATGATCAATGATGAGATTGGTACTTCGCAAAGCTATTTTGAAACAAGACGCTAATGTAATGTAAAGCTAGTGTCGCTTGCTTAGGAACAAGGTGGAGGAACGTTTAAGGTTTATCCTGACTTGCTAACTATATAGTTGTCGACATCTTCGGCTGGCCAGAGTAGACTCCTCCCGCAATAACCTCAGAAAGATGGAGGAAAGAATCGACTTGAGTTGCCTTATTTTTGCACGAAAATGCCGATGTTTGCAGTTGAGTGCACAAAAGGGGCCGGTTCTGAATGCCAAGATGTAAGTTTTTTCATCGTAGTCGTCTTCGCTAATCACTGTCATTAAAGACATATAGTCGTGGGTTGTTTAGCTCATCATGTTGTGGCTTCTAAGACGGTTCTGGTAAGCCAAGGAGCGCATTGGATACATGTATTTTTGTTCTCATGTTGTCGGCAAGAAACCATTTGAAACAATTCTGAAACAATTCTGAAAATTCTTGAGCCAATTTCATCTCATCTCAGAGCTCCGCTCCTTTTGATTCAGTAACGCCGAATCCATCTAAAGCCTGCTCGCTGTCTGAACCCACCCAAATTTTGCGCAGAACCGTTGTACAAATGCTAACAGCAATCGTCCAAAGTCTCAAGCAATGCCCATTCCATACCCATTCCAAATCGAACCTTTTCGCAATTTTGTCAACGCACATGAAGTCCTCCATATGTCAATCCAGCACCTTCTCCACGAATAACCAGACACGCACTTAAATTTCCCCTTTCTATTTCTTATCGCCTCACTTTACTCGTACACTCAACATATTCACTATAAGCTATCACATGAAGCCATATCTAGAAACGCACAGAAACACAGAGAATCACTCACTTACCCCATTATTCGAGATGCTACTACATATTAGCGATCGGTATGCAAGTCAAGACTTCACAGAGATCGAGGATACCTGTTAGGGTTCTTGCTATCGCATATTCTGCGTGGCGTGTCGTCGTAACTGTCTATTTAAGAGTCTTGCACTAGCTTCAACGAAGAGTAGGCACACATCTCGTTTGGCCTTTTTTGTCCCACATGTCTGGCTTGGTGAAAAGTCGTTGCCTATGAGTATTGAACGTGAGGGTTTCGTTGGATATCTGAATATGATGGTTATAGAAATTTGGATTGTAGTTCTGGTAAATGATAAGTTCTTGTAAATTGCCTCTAGTTCTCGCTACACGGATTCACTTCGCACCACGCAGATGAAGCAATGGTACATAAGTCTATGATCAGATGGGAGACATATCAGCCTAATCGTCTGATACCTATCAAGAATGCAGGTTTTCTGATATAGGATCTCCTCATATGATGAATAATTGGTACTTTGCGAGTTCTCAGCTCTCCATTTCCAACCCCCACCAATATCATTCGTTGCACCTTAGAAAAATGGTAGATTAGCAGAGAACCGGTTTGTGCCTTTCGCAAAAATGCTTTTTCGTCCTGACTATCTTAAGACTCGTGCTTCACTTTGACCTTTGAAACGTCTTCAGCGCGTGACCTGATGAAACTGAATGATACATCATAACTTAGGTGGGATCACTACTTCGACATTGTTGAGCTCGCCTGAGACTTTGTGGTTTATTGAGATAGGACGGATAATTTGTGAGATCTTACGTTTTGCCATGTGATTTATGCGATCACGAGACATTGGATTCACTTATACAGCTCCCGAGGTGGTATGAAATAGAGCCAATAATGGATCTTGAAAAGAAAAGAAAAAGTCTGCCCCACATATACAGCTGGACTCTCGCAAGGGTCTGAAAGTAGGCAATATTGACATTTGTAAGTTGAATTTGTATAATAATTATTAAGTCTTCTAAACACTTCCTACACAAACACTTCAACATTCTCGAAAACCACACCATTTTCAAACACCACTTCCTCTTGTATACTTCACACCACAGTCCTTATACGTCATACTAGGTAAGTAATGAATCTTTAAAACTTTAAAGAATTCGGATTCTAAAAATCTATAGACAGGAAACTTCTTGCGCTCCTAAAGTACTACACTCAAAAGCTTTCCAATTTTGAGCAACTTTGGTACCACACAACCTCACACAATTCGGCCATCAACAACTAGTCATGAATTCTTCTACTGCGATTATTGTTTATGACAACACGAAAGAAGTCGGGTTGCATCAAGAATTACCAGATACTTCCCAGAAAGGGGAACACACCTGGAGTGAGACTTCAAGCCCGCATCATTCAAAAGAAAATGAGCCCACCTCATCCTCATTCAGAGGATCCCCGAATTCTTCTATCGGCTTCCTCGACTTGTCACTTGAAATCCGACGCATGGTCTATGATGAATACTTTGTCGTTACCGAACCAATCTCATTCCAAACTGGATCGTCTGCATCGCTGCCCTTTCATCTTGATAAGAACTATGGTCTTCAAACCGCACTACTTCGTGCGAAAAAAAAAATACACAGTGAAGCCGCACCATATATTTACTCCAATCGGGTTTTCAATTTAGCTGGCATCCCCCCTACACAACTACTACCCACTACCGATGCAGCTTTTGCTTATTTCTCGAGACAAATTAGTGTTCCTAATACGAAGCTTATCCGTCACCTCATTATCGACTTTCCCGAATTTAACCCTAGCCCTCAAGAATGTTATCGCCCAGAAGTCCCCAAGCCCGTTGAAGAGTCTGTGAGAATATTGAGGCAAATCTACGACCAGTGTAAAGAACTTGTAACACTTAAAATGGCATTACACGAATTACATACTATGTTTAATTTATTCAGTTGGCACACTTTCCTTCAAAATGAGTTGCTTGCTACAGACTGGCTACACAAGCAACTGCAGGGCATGCCGTTCTTGAAATATATCGTCATTCATCTTCAAGTCATTGACCTGAAGCGTAGATATCATCAGGGCTGGATAGACAAGTCGCGGGAGTATGGATGGGATTTTAAGGTCACAGAGTATGAATACAAGGGAAACAAGGATGAGGCCCTGAATGATGTTTTAGACGCTGTGGCCAATCTGGCTCAGATGGAAGATTCCAGGCGCGAAATGCAGCGAGGATATTATATCAAAAGACAGACCACCGATGGAGAGTTTGAGATTGACTATGACTTGTCGTATCGTGCGGCTTGTCGCAAACTTGAGGAGGGTCTCCTTCAATCAGCATAGGAAGAGCCCACTATCATTCGAAATTTTCATTCAAGCGCGCGACCAACAACTTTCCTAGGAATTTCACCTGCTATCAACAGCCATTTTTGTCAGCTTGTGTGGTTCTATGATCCGCACCAAGATTACTCATCTGACAGTTGGATAGGAACAAATATGGGGTCTCAAATAGGACTTCTTGAAAAATCATTATCTAGTTTCCAAAGTAATCCAGTCCAACCATTGTATTTACCTATCACTGTAAAATGTGCTCGAATTAAAGAAAGCAGGCTAGCGGAATGAATGTGACATTGGCTATTTAAATTGATTGCATTGATCTAAATCTAGAACAACGGAAGTGGAAGGCATATGGGCCTACAGCGCCAGTGAAAGTGCCTTGATATTCCAGCAATATATCAAATCCAGGTGTTTTCCTCAGTGCCTCACTACCAAGATGGGAGGGGCGCGAGCCTATTTATTATCAACAATTCATTCAAGGATCCAAACCACGCTGATATCCCATAAACTTACTGGCGTGAGCCTCTTCAAGTTCTGTCAGGAGTACTTTGTCAGGTAATTATCTACAATCCAGACACAGAGTTGGATAGGATGACCTGAATAAGTCTTTCTTCCCCTGAGGATTTATTCGTCCTCACGTGGCAGGCTTTTACCTACTAGTCACCAAGTTCTTTCAGACTAGACATCTATAAAACGATATTCCAATATAATCTATCAAGAATAGAGAATATCCAAGCAGCGACCTCGACAAGTATATTGAGCAGGATTTTCTGAAAAGGACACACTCTGGAAATTAGGAATAAATTTTGGCTTTAGTCAAGCCAAAGGGATATTGCTATCAATGGAACGTCTGCTCGTTTGCTATCAATATCACCCACGAATTGACAGTTCAACATATAGACATTCACGATACAAAGATTCTCACTACCATACTATGTTTTATTGTTGTTACGACGAGTACTTGCAAGCCTTGGCACAGTAAACATCAAACCTTCTACCAAACACAGACAACTTCAACATTCCTATCTTCATGGTACCATCACACTTGTTAGAAAATATGGTGATCATTTGCTCTCGACTCTTCTTCGTTTACTATTCCGTGGATTCCTCGTCTGCTCATCGAAAGTCTTTCCAAGTCTTATATAACCCAGTGTCTTGGCTTGATTTCAATTATCCTAGTCAAATCCACCTTCCATACTATATTCACTCCACTCTACTTCTGATTCTCAGCGCAAGATTTCAGAGACCAAAGGTCAGTGTAAATCACAGAAACTAGCTGTCCATCTCGACTAAAGTAATACTCCACAACACTTATACAGTACATGTACATGACCTCACAGACTTTAGGTAATAGATAGACTCATGTAGTGAACTACGACGGCCATTTTCGATATCATAACAGAGAAATTGGCCCATAAAAAGAAGCCACGAGAGATTCTCAACGGGTACCCTCGATATTACCTCAACAATCTCAGCCACAAAAACGTTGAACATGTAAAGAGGGGTAACAAGTGGATTCAAGAGCCCAAATCCCCTGAATTGTAAAAGTGGAGACAAAAAAGGCATTGCAACTTTGCTTTGTATGTGGATTTGCAAAGATGACGCAATAGTATTTGAAACAATATTTGAAGGAATGGGAAAAAGTAGGTTGTTATAAGTACCCCCTGGAAAGGAGGGCTGTAACAAGTTATGGATCGAGACAATATGGAGCTAATTTGGTATGGGGAATGAAAGATTGTGCGAAAAGCGTATTCTGGATCCTAATGTAGAATATCAACTTTAGTCTGAGATAGAGTTGAGAATTAGAGAGACAATGTCGAATACATAAAGAGAAACGATATTATGAACAATAAAAAGTAACAACAGGTGGCATAACGTGTATAAATGACAGCAAAACAAGATTTCAGACCACGAACAAGAGGCGAGAAAGGAAAGACAGTCAAATAGAAGATCAAAAACTCCTGGATTCTCATCTAAAGTTCATCCCATTATACATGGCGATGGCCAAGTATGCATTATGCATACACATTATATACTAGCGAGTTTTAGTTCTCAGCCGGTTGTCCAAACATAAAGCCATGATTTCATCCAAAACTCTCATCTACCAGATGCAACCTCCGTCAAATTCATCTACAAGCTGAACTCGACCTTCATAACCTCATCGATTCCATCCTTAATAGCACTAGTCTTAATCTCATCCAATTTCTTCAAAGGTGATCTTGGGTATCCACCATAGCCATAGTAGCTTTGAATTGCGCTCTTGGTACCAGCAATAGCGGCCTTAGTAAGGACCCAATCACCCTTACTTAAAATCTTTTGCAATTCGAAAGCCTCATCCCTCTTTCCTTCTCTGTACAACTCCCAAATCTTTACGCAAACCTTTGGCATAACATTTGCACCACCGGCAATGATACCGGAACCACCGGAAACCAAGGTTTGAGCAGTGAAGTCACAAATACCACCGAAAGCCATGTAGCCAGAACCTTCTGAGAAAACGGTCCTGGCATTGGTAGCCAAGGCAACTCTGGTAAGTTTTCCTGTGCTACCACAGGTGAATTTAGTACCGATAATGTTGGGGTGTTTGGCGAGACGGATCAAGAGATCGGAATCCATGTCAATGCCGGCAACAGCACCTGGGTAATTGTATAGGATAATAGGTAAAGGTGATGCATCAGCTACTTGAATGAAATAGTTGTAGATAGAATCTTCGTCCATAAGACCACGGAAATAAGAGGGGGGTAATAACAAAACGTATTCTCCACCCGCTGCTTCTGATTCTTTGATGAGCTCGACGGTACCGCGAACGGACCCTTCGGTAGCTCCGACAATGATGGGAACTTGATCGAAGCCGGCGGCATCGAGAGCTTCACGGGTAGCACGTGTGACGGATTGTTTTTCGGCGCGGGAGAGATGAACAGCCTCACCGTTGGAACCCATGGTTACAAGACCAACGAGACCAGCTTCGGCGAGACGAACGGCATGTTTCTTGATGGTCGGTATGTCGAGTTCTTCAGTCTCAGGGACAAAAAATGTCATAGTGGGAGCGTAAATTCCATCTCTGAGAGGTCTTCGTGTAACGTGACCGTTGGAACCGTTGGTTGCTGCCATTGTTATGATTGCTGTATATGTAGATGAAGAGAAGTGGGGGCTTAGAGTGGGACGCGAGGTATTGAGTATTCAGATATAGAAGAGAAAAAATGTATCTTCAAGAGGGTGTGTGTGAGGTAGTATGAGGAGAAAAGAAGAAGAGAGTGAAAGACTGCAGAAGGAAAGAGTATCTTATGTATATGCTAGCAGCAAAGAATGATGGGCAACCCTGTGAATGACTTGACAGAAATGTATACTAAATTAGTCCGAGGACCGGGACTAGTGACCTATCTTTTTGTGAATAGTATTAAAAAAGTAAGATTGAGTTGTTTTCCATCAACATGCAGAATCTAGGAGGTCCATGGAGCTCGAGCCAGGAATAGTGTGCCGGACTTCCCTGATAGTTTCTCGAATTATGATCTAAGTTTGTGGAAGCAGTGGGGGGACTTTCTAACTTCCCCGTATAAGATTCTTCCGATTTGCGTGTCAACCATGCATTGATAACGTTAATCGGCAAGAGATTCACGGAAAGCGGGTTGAAGTAGAAGGGATTCATGAATTTGAAAGGGTTTGGTTCAGGGTGTACCGATGTTCTTAAATTGGCATCTAGTCGTTTTTCCAACTGCCGTGTGTGTATCTTTGCACATATCATTCTTGTTAGTCGTTTCCTAGCTGTCTAGGCGATGATACACGGCACATCCCATGACTAACGGTTTATTGTAATAGATTTATGGATGTTAAAATGACAATCAATATGATATGATCAATGCCGTCTAAGCCATTCAGAAGTGTTCCAATTGATGGTAGTGACTGAGAGATGTTCGAAACATGTGGACTCAAATTGTCAATTCAACATTCTGAGTGTCGTTGATGCTGGAAACTATTTTTCCACCAATAAACTTCCTGGTGATGCCAAGGGCGTGGGGTAAAAATGTGGCCAAGTTGAAATTAGTTCAGGCCACTAAAAAGGGATGCGGGGCAAACTTGGGGAGTTGGGAGAAGATGTATCTGGGTATAGAATGGGAAAATAATCCTCATGGTCAAAAAGTTATTGTGAACTGTCTTAAGATGATATATACAGTCAGTCTAGCTAGACGTTGAGGCTCAATCATGCAATATGATCCGTCTAATTTCAAGACTAAGAGAAAAGATGCAGAAGATGTGTGCAAATAGGAATGCGAGCACAAGATACTGTACCTATAAAATCAAGATCGCGGGGTAAAAGCCTTGTATGATTGGAGAATGGATATATGATGATGTTACTAATGGGTATGAAAGCCCTCAACTCGAGGGATGAAAAGATCGTAGTACAGTCGTCGACAGTCAAATACGACAAAAAAAGAAAATTTCGACTAAAATCCAATTCTCTTATTACGATCGATAGCCCTGATTTAAAGAAGAATAATGATATGAAACGAAACTTGAAAATACAATTCGTTGATTGAATAATCAATATAATATAAAAAAAGAATCCTAAAATATTTTAGCGGTTTATACGATCAAATATCATTTCAATATGCGATCGTATCGAAGAATTGCTTTTTCAAGTATTATATATTTTAATAATATATAATCTATTAAAATCAAACAAGGTTATATGATTATTATATATTTATATAATATATGAAACTTCAAATAAGAGATCTTAAAATTTTTAATAGACTAACTTTTAATGTTTATATTGATCTATACATTAGTTGCTAGTATAATCTTAATTATTACTATATTTTCGAGCTCTACGAAGTCAGAGCTATCGAATACGTTAAGGAAAATTAATCTTAGTTAAAAAAGAATTATTTTGTCGTGTTTGAGTGTTAACGACTATAGTTGTTTCTGAAATGTAATATAATAATATAGAAATACTTAATGTAGTTTATCAGAACATACATTATATTAGTATATGTACTATTATTTTTACATACAAAAAACAGTCATATATAACTATGTACTTTTTTTATTTATTGATATAATTTAATTTTTCCTTATATATATTATATTTATTTATATAAATAATATAAAAATAAATTAAAATAATAAAATCTTATAATAATAAAAAAGTTATTTAAAGAAATAGATTTTTGTAATACAAAGTATAACATTCTTAAGCTATAATTGAGATATCTATAAAAAGATCAAATTTTATAAATATTTCATTTTTATTATTTATAAAGAAACTTTTTCAAAAAAAAAAATTAATAATTTAAATAAAAATATTAATAAAAAACTAATTTTAATGTATTTTGAAGTGGTGTATATATTGATATAATATATGTACTAATAAACTATGTTAATTACAATACAATCCAAGACTATAGAAGAGTTACACTCTATTCCACATAGAGTCTCATCAAGGATCTTTCTAGATATCCGAACCAACCCCTTCATCCCGCAATTTTTCTCGCTTTTTAGCCCCGGATAATTAAGCAGCGAATATTGACCCCTCAAATTCTCCGCCAAAACTCGTGATCCAACAATTTGTTCCACAGTGATTCTTTCCTTCATGGTTAAACAAATTAATGCTTGGAAGCTAAGGGTAATTATACCACCACTTTCACTATGAAGTCGACATCATCCCCCACTATCTTAAGCTCTCCATTCACTTGCATCTCAATTAACTTTGGGTAAATCTCTACTTGTTCTTCATTCTTTCAAGAATTTCAAATACAGTTCACACAAACAAGAATCTTAACACTATCATCATGGCTTCAGATTTGAAACCCCTCAATGTCCTCATGGTGGGAACTGGCGAATATACCACCGGCTTCGTAGGAGGTGGAGCTTCGGGATCAGACAAGAAAGTTGGAGTTGTAGGACTTTCATTATTTGATCTGCGAAGGCGTGGAAAGGTTGATAAATTGTCTATGGTTGGCACATCTGGAGGAAAATTCCCAGCTATCCGTTTGTCTCCCGCCTCCGTCTAATTGTATACCGCACTTCCTGCATCACCCACTAACAGAGTTGACCAGGCGAACATCTTAACAAGAACATTTCCCAAGTTTATAACAATCTCGACACATCTTTCGATTCCTTCCCAGCAAATGACAAAACAGACCCAGCAGCCTACAAAACTGCTATCGATGCCCTTTCCCCAGGTGATGCCATCACAATCTTTACTCCCGACACAACTCATTACCCCATTGCCCTCTACGCCATCGAACGTAAAATCCACGTTTTAATCACCAAGCCCGCAGTCAAAATTCTTTCTCAACATCTCGAGCTCCTCGAAGCTGCCCAAAAAAACGGTGTCTTCGTCTACATCGAGCACCACAAACGTTTTGATCCCGCATACTCCGATGCTAGACACAAGAGTTTGGGATTAGGTGATTTCAATTACTTCTACAGTTATATGAGTCAACCTAAATCACAATTGGAGACTTTCAAGGCTTGGGCTGGCGTGGATTCAGATATTAGTTATTACCTGAATTCGCATCACATCGATATTTGCGAGTCAATGGTTTCACAGCAGGGATTTTTGCCAGTCAAGGTCTCAGCGAGTGCCAGTAAGGGAACGGCTGTTGGATTGGGTTGTGATCCAATTACAGAGGATACTATTTCTTTACTTGTGCATTGGGTCAAGAAGGATGATCTAAACAAGAGAGCCACTGGTGTGTATACTGCCTCCTGGACTGCACCACAAAAGGCTGGTGTTCACTCAAATCAATATTTCCACTACATGGCCAGTGGAGGAGAAATTCGCATTGATCAAGCCAAGAGAGGATACGATGTCGCAGATGACAAAGTCGGTCAATTGATGTGGTATAACCCATTCTACATGCGTTATGCACCAGATGAGGAGGGCAACTTTGCTGGACAGACAGGATATGGATATGTCAGTTTCGAGAAGTTTGTCGATGGATGCAGATTAGTCAATAGAGATGGTGTTTCTGCGGTCAAGGTCTTAGATAATAGAGGATTACCGACTTTGGGCAACACTGTCGGCACAACCGCTATCTTGGAAGCTGGAAGAAGAGCTCTAGATGAGAACAGAGAGGTGGAAATTAAGGTCGAGAATGGCGTTTGGTCTCTTGTTTAATGAAAAGGAACGACAGTTAATATCTTGGTGTTTAATAAGCAATACTGCAAGGTGCAGTTGAGGAATGAAAATATTATGATTACTTTGATTCTTCATTTTCTATTAAAACATGTTGCTGTCTGTTTCGCTTGCTTCTCTCTTATGCTTTACTCTCCGTAGAGGTGCTAAAATTGTTTGTTTTTGAAGACATTTGATGGGATTCAAAGCCTCAAATATCTGATCGCATGGAGGCAGAGCTGGTACCTCCAATCAAGAACTACGCATAAAGAGCGGAACGTATGACATACCTTTCGTTCTCCTACACAATTAATTGCCATGATCTCAACGAAGGCTTCCTCAAATATTTCAATATCAACTCCCTTTTGAATGGCGTCAGGACACCACTCACAAAATATCGTCGATAAATTGCCCGCTTGATACTTTCAATGTGATTACAATAACAGCAAGCTGTTATTGCTCGTTAATCGATGAAGTGGTGAGTTCCATAGTGCTGATTCATCGATGCGTTTTACTGCGAGAAATCTTCCATGAGTCTTGAGTGAAAACGCATACTTACCACTGGACTGGCCATTTGGAATATCGTCTCCGGATTCCTACATCAGAAGTACGACTTTTCCATTGAATACTACACGCATCTACTGAAACACCTGCGGCGATATCAACATCTTTCTTCAAAGCCTTCGCACATGAATATCAGAACATTGAGATTATTCTGGAAGCGAGTATCATAAGATCACATCTATTCACTTCATGGGCTCCGAACTGGATGAGAACTCCAAATCTGAATCAATTGATTTACTGTTTTCACAATGCATATCCAATGCTCGATGCTCACCTTCGAATCTTGAAGGGGAATTTCACGTTATTCGGGCTTCGACTCTATCCATGGGATTGGTGGTACTTGGAGTTGGGCTTGAGGACGGAAAGATGTCTCATATTCAAGCGAGAGATAATTGATTTACAGTGGAGAAGTACCGGCGGATGTATGTATCCTAGAAATCCTCAAGCTAAATGTATGGCATCTTTCAAGGCAAGAATTCACCTATAACTCAAATTCTTTTGTTTTGAATGGTCGTCTTAGAACTTCGGGACGGACTGCTCATCAATCAGGAATATAGATGAGGTCTATGAGGCCATTGAAGGTTGATTCATGGGTAAACGAAAATTCGGTTAGTATCAAGGACGCCCCGCTGACCCGAGATGAGTATCGGGCAATCACTTCATGGAGCTTTCTGTTGTTATTAAAATAAGTAGCAGTCGAAGTGCAAGAGAATGTTTCAATTATATACTAATGATTTATCTACCACAAAGCAAAACATTCAACCTGGGGTATTGAGTGTATCTATTACAAAGAGTACTTCTTCCACGTCCTAAAAAATATCTTCACCTGAAAAAAAAAAAAAAGAATTGGAAAAGTTCCAAGCTAGCTCATTTCTTCTCAACACTCTTCTTGGCCTTCTTACTTTTGGGTGAGCAAGAGGAAAGAATGGAACGTAACCAAGTCTTATAAGTAAATCGACTGCGGAGGGTAGTGGATGAAGATGTTGATGACCGAGAGGCACCAGGAAGGACTTTCTCGATGATTCTATGAAGAGAGAAGAGTATTGTTAGTCACAAATTCACAAGTATCTAAGCTAGAAGACCATGTAAGGTAGGATCATCTTATATTTCTATCTTTCTTGCTTTTGTACATTTCAATTTCTCTTCCAAATCATTCATCCAATCCTCTGTCAACAGTGAGAAAAGTCAAAGCGCTCCACTTACTGCGCCAAGAGAACAGCCCTGTAGTAAACTTGTCCTTTGTCCAATTTATCCATTGCCTCCGCGATACCTGACTCCGTCATAGGGAAAGTTTGAACGATGGGTTTAATTTCATGGAATGCAGCGAAGTCCAACATTTGCCTGTGGGCACTTCTGTTTGCAACAAGGTTTCCTTGAATGTTGATACCAGCGACAAGGAATGGCATGTATGGGATCTCGAGGTTCTGGAAAGAAACTGTCAAGGGGTAGATGGTGGAGCGGGGTGCCATGATTGGGAGGATCAATTCCCAGTTTGGTTGAGCGGCAGTGGTAACGAGGAGACGGTTGATGGGCCTAGAAACCTTGAGTTCCTTGACATCTTTGGTAGCGATAAATTCGTGTGCACCGAGCTTGGTGGCTTCATCCTTCTTCTTGTCCGAGCTACTCAACACAACAACTCTGCAACCCATCTTGGCAGCAAATTGAATAGCCAAATGTCCCAATCCACCAACACCCATCACAGCAACAACATCAGTGCTCTTGATACCCTGGAGGGCAGAAAATGTGGTAGCACCTCCACATTGTAAAGGAGCGGCAAATTCATCAGGAATGGAGGCTGGTGTGGGGAAAAGGAAGGCCTCACGCCAGATAGCATGGGAAGCGAACGATCCTTGATCAAGATTGGCATATCCGTAAAGAGCACGTTCTGGACAGAAGACTTCGTTTCCAGTAAGACACTCGTTGCAGTGGCCACAAGAATCGTGCTCGTAACCCCATCCTACACGGTCTCCTTTCTTGAGATACTTGGCATCAGGGCCAACAGATTCAACAATGCCAACACCTTCGTGGCCAAGGACCATGTCGGCACCTTTCTAGACGGGGGTTAGCTATAGAACAAATGACAAAGGGTGGCAATGGGGCATGGACTAACGTAATGAAGATCTGTTCCGCAAACACCGGAAGCGGTAATCTTTACCAAAACACTGTCACCTTTAAGCTCTTCGGGCTTAGTGGTGGTGCTCTTGATGGGGGTACCATCAGCTCTGCCCTTGAAAACGGTGAAGGTAGGCATATTGGTTGTGTTTTGGGAAGAAGTAGATGATTTGAGGATGGATTTGAAAGTTGGATTTTAAGTGAAGTTATAGATGTTTTTGAATGTTTTGAGAAGCTTGAGGAAAGAGTAGAAGAGGAGGTTGATTTGATATGGAATAAAACATATTTACTATGACTTTTAACTCCCATTATATAATCTTTGAACTCAGGGCCGCTCCTCCATGTTTGGGTCCAGGCACCATCCGGCCCATCATTTCATGCATTGGTGTTGATTAGTGACAATACCCATCGGTGAAGTGTACAAGCGCATGGACTCACGGGATTGTTCGTAATCAAACTTACCGATTCACATCCGACGGAGGTCCCTTAGGATTACCTGATCTTGAAGGAGAGTCCGGAAGACATATTGTGGGCATTCATTGCTTTATGTCCGAGAGGGACCCATGTTCTTTAGGCTCATGACTAAACCCGAATCAAAATTTACTAGGGTCTAATCTCCGAATTCCCCTTTAGGGCTGAACCATGCGAGCCATGGTGACCAACTGTTGGACGATAAGATAATCTAATGGATCATTGGTTCCTATCCACCAACGTTTGGATAATGCGAGGTTTATTCTGTACTGCATTTCTGGAGTCTCGGAGTTATATTGTAATTGTGCTACCCCACGATTTTCGTGAGCCAATCAGATTAGACCCTCATGCGCCGAAGGCTTTTCAGTAATCTTCCCGGCTTCAAGCCAAGAATCGAGTATTGCTGGCTCAAAGCCTAGAGTCAATCATGCGTATCTATAAATTCGCTGTAGGTGCGAGCTACGACAATGACCGTCCTCCATGATTGGCTCTGGTTTTATGATTGAAGACGGTTATGGAGTAATTTCTTTGTCATAATTCAGCCGTATGTTACAATCAATAAGTAGATGATATCCAAGTGGTTAAAGCATTAATTCTATACGAACAATTATTGCTGGTACAAGAGTAACTACCGAAGGATAATCTCGCTACTCCACGAAATTGTTTCCCAATACAGCCACAACCCACATGCGTTTAACATGATGTGCATATTGCCATACCATTGCCAACCCGAGAGTGAATTTGAGAAAACTATAGTAATAGAATGGAAGAAACATAATGAAAGAACGCCTGAAAACCATGCCTCTTGTGTTTATCGTCATCAGCATTACTATTCCGGAAATATCGTCCCCATATTCGCCCATAGCATCTCAAAGTCTGTATATGAATCTGCTGGGAATGTCATATCAATGGATTGAGCCAGGATATCTTGAATTTCTGCATTCGTCTCATTATCGAAAGATAACGAATCTACAACTTGCATTCCAGTGAAGCTATCATCGAGAAGACTCTCATAGCCCGAATCTCCTGCACTCATGACAGATTGCACTTCATCGGGTTTGATCATAACCTTCGACTGTTGCGCCATCATTTGTTTCTCATAAGTCTGCGCAAGACGAATATCGACTTTAGCACTGAGTTCAGTCATGACATTAGCAGCGCTGGCAGCTTGAGCGAAATTGTTCCCAAAGTTATCGAAGACAGCGATGGCGAGGTCGAGAGCACCTCTTGCTGCTCGAGTCTGTGTGCCTTGAGGATATGCGAAAATATAACCGACCAGAGTCATTGCACAGTTCCACTGCCATTGGAAGGATTCTTGCCAGCCTGCCAAGATCGACGTTGACAAGATGACATGATGCATGATATGCGTCAGTTGCATAGCATGGCCGACACATTTGAGTGCGATTTGTTCTGAAAGAGGAGTGGGTGTGCCTGCTGGATTGAAGACGATGAATGGCCGACAAAGGTTGGTACTAAGATTGTGGTACATAAGTTCCAGGAGGAGGCGTTGTCTTTGAAGCCACAGTGGTGCGAACGGCTCGATATTAATATGTGATAGATCTGTGGAGAAAGGGGATCCACTATTGAGACGATCAGTTTTGAGTGCCATGGGCACACCTCTGAGCCATTCATCCAATCGCTCTAAATGTGGTTCCAGCATATCTGCATAAGTCCCAAGAGTTTGCAAGTCATCCCAAATAGTTCCTCTCACGTTGACTGTATTAGGGACTGGGGTATCGTAGAAAGCAGAGTAGGCCGATCGAGCAACAAGCAACAATTTCGTATTGTGAAGATTCCAAGTCAACCAGGTAACATTGTCACCCAGAGGTGCAAAGCTTTGTCCTGCAGCAATGGCGACATCGCGGTCGTCAGTCGGAAGGGTGCATGTAGTATTACATTCATGGACCAAAAACGGACGACCAAGTTTCATACTCATCTTACTCTCCAAAACGTAGAGTGTCCACCACATGCGTTTCCGCAGTTCTCTTTCTTTTCTTGGCATTTCTTGCGGAGGCTCGACATGTAAACCAAGCATATACGCTGTTCGTACAGCAGCACTGCAAGCGCTGTCTGCCATATTTTGAAATGATCCACAACAGAGGTATATGGAGCAGAGGATATGACATTGAAGAGTAGCTATTGTGGGTGCTTCTAGATCGGCTGCCAGTAGAGATTGACAGCGTCGGTAATGCCATCTACCAGCGATTGTTGCGTCATTGACGTTTACGTTAGCTCTCGAGCCTGGGTTGTGTGCGCGTGTTACATTGGGCAGAAAAGACATGCCGTACTGCATACACATTGCGAGGATAATATCGACAAGCGCGGAAGGTTTCCTCTCTTTGTCAGAATTCATCCATAACGACTGGTAATGTTCTTTGAATTCTTGTTCATCGATAATAGGATTTGAGGTATAGTATGATTGCCAAAAGAGCCCAAGAAAGTACTCTTCTTGTGTTGGTGAAAGATAGTCACCAACGTTGAGGGGGTCTTCTATCGGGACCATCATCCCATTCTTGTTGTCTGACGTATCTGCTGTAGTCGGTCCATCGAGCACTTTACTCGCCGAGTTCGGCAACATAGCATGGGCAGAGTGTTTTTGGTGCAGTGAAGCGGTCAAGAAAGTATTGAGGCGCCCGATGAAATAGTACAGTGACGCTGAGCCATACCACGTCTTTTGTGGGGAACGTGCGGTGCTAATGTGAATGCCTTCCCATTCTCTCTTTATTGAGTTTGCGTCAAATTCAAGGCCACTCATACCACTCAAACCGCTCATACCACTTAATCCAGTGTCATGTCCCGATCTGGAACTTCCTATACTATTCGGCGGTGAAGGAAGTCCATGTGGAGGAAGCATTTGCATGTTGTGTTTGCTATCGCTTGAGCGCTCTTTATCGAGTTCTGTCTCAAGTTCTTGCACTTTTTGCTTAAGGCGTTCAATCTCACGATATGCATGTGGAAGTGTTGCCAGCTTCATAGCACCGCTATTGCTGCAGTTGCCGCCCCGGGTTTTGCAGTTGTTACACGGATGATCATTATCGCATTTGATCCGGTGAACTCGACACCAATCGCACGCTTTGGCCACTTGACTTCGTTTTTGACGTGGACGGGGCCGTGGTGGAGGTTCTGGAGATGCAGAAGTGCTAGGCGTAGTAGAAGGCATGCTCACGAAAGTGGTGAACATTTTGGGAGCAATGTTATGGGTATCAAGTAGAGAGACGGCGAGGAGATGCGCTGGACAGATGATGTTGCCTAGATGAATGTATGTGCGGCACAGCAGCAACTGAGATTTGATAGCAGATTGCTACGAAACCTAGTAGAAGGCTGTTACTCGTGATCAATGGTCAATTAGCACCTCCTAAGGTCAATTTTAGGAAAGTGGAAAGTCTCGAGATCTGAGGATAGAGAATACCAATCCTGTATGTACAGAATATGGAGTTTGAATGATTTGCGGTGTCAAAAGTGCGAGCAGATCTCTGGTATTCTTTATTTGTGCACGGGCGGCACAATTAATGTGTTTCGGGTTCCAAGGGGTCTACCCCAACCAAGCCCCACCTGAAGGGACCCGGGAAGATAGATGGCTAGAATGCCACAAAACAAAGTACGGCTTTTACGGCTTTGTACTATTCGATTTTTGCGTGGATGATACCTAGTGTCAGTACCAAAAAGGTCTAGGAATGAAGTTTCTAACGAACTAAAATGTGCTTTTAGACTTGATGTCAAACGATTTGGTAGGGCTTGACCAGTGATTCATCAGAATGCTAATGCTCATAGATAAATCGACATCTATCGGAATTACCGCCGACATCATACCATTCTACATCATACATATAATACATTACAAATTTCTCATCGACGTATCTGAAAAGAGTTACCAAGCTTTGACTACTTAGGTACCGCTGCAACTGATTGAGGCGGAGATAGCGTTTTGGGCTTCGGAGAAGAGCCTATCGTGCCTACGAGCCCCATAACGGCTGCACTGAAACCCTTGTTGATCTGTCAAAATGCATCGTAAATAGCACCGGAAAACGCTTGATCATTATCAGCCCTTTCTTTCCTCACTCCACCCCACCTACTGAAAACTGCCTGCGGAGTATATAACCTTATTTCCAAAGAGGAACTCTCTCATCACGACTATAAACTTCAAACAGCTAATCCACAATACTATCATCATGGATAGAACATTATAATCGATAGATAAAGCCACTACCTGTGTACGTACTTTCATCACACTACCTAATTTTAGCTACGAGGTCATTTAACACTACAATTACTGCAAGTAATTGAGTTCTCACCCATTCATATTGCACTCGGGTCCTCGCCACGTGAAAGGCCTTCATCAATAGGACCAATCAAAGGCGATCTGAGAAGGCATTACGGCCACAAAATTACTGGCTGGAACTTCAAATTGTACGTACTCGGGTCCGAAGCCGCAAATTCCGAGCCACGGCAAAGAGCCGACTCAAGTTTTGTTCATGAAAATGTCTTGAATGCATGGCCCGGCTTCCTTATATCGGATGAATAAGCCGAGGGATTTAACTAAGCTTACTTCGTTGCCAAAGAATGAGATTTGCCGAGTTCATATGTCTTTCCGCTATTTCTGTATTCCGTCGCTGCGAAAGTGAGAACAGTGGGAATTCTGCTTCAGTTTGCGTGGACATAGGATTATGGCAGAGTCCCCCTTGATGAGCATTATTCGAGCTTCATCACAATGTTACCTACCGTACGGAGTATGGTAGTAGCCGGTTTGCTCGGCATTGTAATCGGTGTTTCTTGGTAAGCATGGCATTTATGATTATCGATTATCGGCGCAAGGCCCAAATCCTTCGTAACAGAAGGACTTACCGTCATTGGTCTTGCCATCTAAACAACCCAATCTCAGCGTTTCACTTCATGGTAGGGCGTTGATTGAAAGACGTATTATTTCTAGATATAGAATGTGCCTAAGGCACGGATCTGACTAAATTATTATTTTACGCAACGGCATATTTCTTCAGCCGGGGGGGACCTTATTAATATTCCCGAGCGTATGGGTGTGATGTAATCCCGCCTATTTTCTCAGGGTCTTGCAGATATGCAGCGGGCCCGAGTCCATATATGTGGTGTATCCTGTGGTTTTCCAGAACCTTGTAGACCCTGAGTTCTGCATGGTCTTGGGGAACAGGCAACGATATCAGCATCTGTAGCTTAAACATGAAGAGAGGCTCACGTGAGGCTGAGCGAGCCAAGAAGCTTAGGAGCTTGGGACCAAACACTCGGATTTACTTCACAAGACTGCTTGCAGTTGCTGGGACAGTTTGTGATCACGGTACCTGGCTCTTTACTCTAGCTCTTCAGATTGATGCAATGATCAGATATGAAAATGCCTCAGAACAGAAGGTACGCAGTCGACGGTCTTTACCCGGACCGGATTAAAGTTCGGATACTTATGTGATGAGATCAAAACCGTGATATCGCCTTGAGACATTCATCAGTATTGGCGGCCCTATCCCTTCTTTAGCTTATCTTCCTCTGCTGATCATGGTTCAAGGATACGAGCTAACGCAGTACTAGACTCCCGCTGCACGTTAATTGCATGTAAGCAGGGTTACCACATGTCAACAACGTGAACTCGCCAGCAGTTCGGTTCCCAAAATATCGAAGTTCGTTGATCCTGCCTCATAAACGAGCTGAGAAAAGCTTAACCTCGCTATCTCTGCGCCGCACGCGATATTACGGCAAGCCAGGGTTCTTTCTTCAACACCCTCGACTTCATGGCATGGAGTATGATTCGATGCGGGCTACGAATTGAGACTATACGATAGTGAACATCATGGGCGATAGAAACGAGGACGAAAAGAGTCTGAGAAGTGGTCTAAGCATCAAGCTGAACGTCTATATAAACGGCTCAAAGTCTCGACGTTAATCTCAATCCTCATCACCATCATCATCTTCTTCTTACCTCAGCTTCATTCATTGCAGAAGAATCTCATCTGATTGCTATCATCACTCCACTTGAAGATCAATTCCTTCTTTTCGCCTTTGCACACGATCCTCCTTACTAGCAGAAATGTTTAGCAAAGACTTCACGGCCGTCGGGCTGGCAGCTCTCTCTTTGGTCTCTCAATCTCAAGCAGGACCTACCTTGGGTACCTCTCATCTCAAAGCAAGAGCTCTCTTAGGTAACTCTTTTGGTGTTCCTGGACGCAATGCCACTTACGACTACGTTGTCGTTGGTGGTGGCAATGCCGGTCTAACTATCGCCATGAGATTGGCTGAAGCCGAGGCTGGCAGCGTTGTTGTCATTGAAGCTGGAACTTTCTATGAGATTAGCAACGGAAACATCTCACAAGTTCCTGCCACTGATGGTGTGTTCGCTGGAAAAGGCGCCACTGATTGGCAACCTCAGATCGATTGGGGTTATCAGACTACCCCACAATCTGTAAGTTAGAGGACTAGTATTGGAACCAAAAATAACATACTGACATACTCAATAGGGAGCATTCAACACTTCTCTTCACTATGCTCGTGGTAAGACTTTGGGAGGTTGTTCTGCCAGAAATTTCATGGTCTATCAACGTGGAACTGTTGGATCGATGCAGAAGTGGGCCGACCAGGTTGGCGATGATTCCTATGAATGGGATAACTTTCTTCCTTTCTACCAGAAGTCTGTCAACTTCACTGCTCCCAACATGAGCCTTCGATCTGCCAACTCTACTCCACAGTTCGTTGCTGCTGATGCTGCATTCTCTCCAGCCACTGGCCCACTTTCAGTCACTTGGTCCCACTATGCCCAAGCTTTCGGAACTTGGGCTATCGAAGGTCTCTCCCAAATCGGTATACCAGTGATTCCTGGATTTTTGGGTGGAACCTTGATTGGAACTTCATACCCTACATTCACCATTGATGCTGAAAAGATGACACGTGATTCTTCCGAGACTTCTTTCCTCAGGGTCGGTATGACATCACCTGACCTCAAGGTTTATACTCTGTCCATGGCCAAGAAGATTCTCTTTGACGACAGCAAGAAGGCAACTGGTGTTCTTGTCGAGACCGGTGGCTACCCATTTACCTTGACTGCCAACAAGGAGGTCATCTTGTCTGCTGGTGTTTTCGGATCTCCACAGCTTCTCATGGCTTCTGGTGTTGGACCCGCAGAAGAATTGAATGCCATCGGTATTGATGTCATCGCTGACCGTCCAGGTGTCGGAAAAGGAATGCAAGATCATCTGTTCACTGGTGTCGGATACCGTGTCAATGCGCTTACCATCTCAAGACTCGTGAACGATCCTGAGTATGCTGCTGAGCAACTTGAGATGTACGAGAGCACCCCAGCTGCGGGAATGTACTCCAGCCCCAACACCGACGTTCTTGGATGGGAGAAGATTCCCGAGAAGTACAGAAGCCAATGGAGCAATGAGACTCAAGATGCTTTGGCTGAATACCCTGCTGATTGGCCTGAGGTTGAGTACATTGCCATCTCTTCTTTCTTAGGCAACCAGGTCATCGAGGGAACTGACCCAAATGATGGATTCAACTACGCCACATTAGCGATTGCTCTCGTCGCTCCTCGATCCCGGGGATCTCTTACCATCACCTCCGCCGACACCAACGTTGCTCCTTTGATTGACCCAGGTTTCTTGACCGAGCAATCTGACGTCGACATCATGGTTGCTTCAGTCAAACGTGTCCGTGAATTCTACGCCACCGATACCCTTCAAAGCTTTGTCATTGGTGACGAGTACTTCCCAGGATCTAACATCTCGACCGACGCTCAAATCGAAGACTTTGTCCGAACTAGTTTCAACACTATTTGGCACGCAACATCGACCTGCTCCATGGGTCTTATCAACGATACTAACACTGTTGTTGATACCCAAGCCAGAGTTCTTGGTGTTTCTGGCGTCCGTGTCGTTGATGCTGCCGCTTTCCCACTTCTTCCTCCTGGACATCCCATGTCCACAATCTGTAAGTCTTATCCTTCCTATAAAAATTAGCAATTGAACAGTAACTAACACGCCATTCAGATGCGTTCGCCGAGAAGATCGCTTGCGATATTATTGGTTGTTAAGCAGTTCGCCTCAAAGCGCCACCATCCAATATTATCTCTTCTCTTTATTATGTTGTCGATAGATCCTTCTTAGAAGCGTCATGGCTAAGATACTTATCCCTTCTTTTCTTTTGACTTCCCGCCAATTGCGACGGAATATTTTGATGCACCACTTGTGTTCCAAGATATTTCGCACACCAAAGCACGCAAAGCACTCGAACACTATCGATCTCTGCGTGCAGACCTTGTTAGCTGGATGCCACTGTACAACAATTGCTCGCATCCTCATTCTGAGGGGTAGCTTGAGCATCGTTGGGTTTTTTCTTTCTTTTTGATGTGATATTTGGGCGGCGGATCTCTTTCATAATGTACCGTACAGAGGAAACAGATGTACTATACAGTCATAGATATATAGTGGTAACCATGTTTTCATATAGCAACTCACACACTTTGCATATGCTTTGCAGATCGTGGCCGAGTTTCATCGATTATGGTGACACTGCAGATTCAGCCAAGACAGACCAGGGGATTGAACTAACAGCATCGTGATAATCAATGGAATAAACACTGAGTAAACGCAGGTTTTGGTCATGACTTTGCTTTCTGATCTATTCAATATCATCGCCACCAATCATTGGGCTTCGCATGGGAATCTAAATGTTGGATAGTATTTGCTAATCCTTGACACATTTTTAAAATTCTGCTGCTTGTAGGATCCAACCAATAACATTTATCCGTACAGACATTGATTTTTTTCATTGCCGATCTTATTTTGCTGGTTGAAGTTGGTGTTTGATGATGTTAGCAAACATCATTAATCAATGTTTGAATTATTATGGACTTTCAAATTCACCTACTTGGCTTGACCAACTTCACATTGACTTTAAATATCAATATCTAACTTCCAAAATAATCAGCTTTGACTACGAAGATTTTGACTAATATTGGTGCAAATTCTCAACCCTCATTACTCGTGAACATTCTGTTCGGGTACGGGCTTCATTCCGGCTAATGTCAGGGGTATCTCGGCTAAATAGAACATCACTTCGGATAGCACAACTTCACCGAAAATTATTCACTACCGAGCTCTCCCGAAACCCTTTCCGTCCCCACATCTTCATTTACCTGCAGATCTTCCACTCGAGCCACTCTACCCGCGCCGTTTTCAATCCTTCCCGCTCAGCCCCAGAGCGCATGCCCCGAGTTAGAACTAGGGGACGCCATACATTTAGACCCTTATTTTTCAAAAATCGTATATCATCCAACTATTTATTGATGGCGAGCAAAATGTCTCATCTATTGTTAATCAGACTTCACGCAGGTCCCCTCACGGCTATTTCAGAATTATGCGGTAGGCTGGAGGTAAGTCACGTGATACAGGTTTAGCCACCAAATTCAAGCAATGAGGAAGTTATTGCTAAGGAATCTAAGATCGCCAAGCAAAGCTGTAAAAGCTTGGTGAAGAAAGGACCATATCATGTTTATATATGGGCTGATGCGAAGGTTGTGCAACGGGACCCGACTGGATGAACCAACGGTGAAGTAAGTTGGGCGTTTCAGCCGAAACGGCATGTTCATTGTACAACGAAGCCGATCATGTGCACGAACTGTGGGGTTATTTCTGTGAAAAATTGGATAAATTTTGAAAGACTGAATTTGATAAATAAGATCGTGATCAAGATTGAATCCAAGGTCACGTGTGTAGGTAATCCTATCAGCCACTGGACCGCTTTGCTAAGCCACCCCTAACAAGCCACCACGACACCTAAGGACACAATGGATCTTAAAGGAGTGTAAATGCTCGAAGTCAAAATGGATGAAGAAGTTAAAGGATTCTGGAAGGATTATAAGATAGTTAGAATGATCAATTGAATTGATCCTAACACATGAGAACTTGAAGCAATGATCATCAGGTAATTCATATCCAGTCACTTATGATTAAGGCAAACGATGTAATTGTGATGTTGTTAAATTTGTTTGTGTTTTATTGATGATGAAATATAAAAAATAATCGTGATTCATGAATGAAATCCCAAACTCCTGATCCATCTATCCCAATATCTTATCTATACCAATACCCAAGTCTATCATTCATTAATTAAAAACAGATGTATGAAAAGGTACATGAAATGAAAAGTGACAAAGGAGATTCGTTAAATGACAGCCATGTCTAATCCAAAGCCAAGAAAGAATTTTGACCTGCCACAGGCTCTTTGATACCCCACTGAACCATCCAGTTCTCCAACCACACTCTGTTCAGGGGACCGAGATTTCTCAGAGTCTTACTGGCAGCCTGAGAAACGTTGGTAGGTAAGGTACGAGCACCCTTCTCAACGGCACCACCAGCTGCTGCTTTGGAGTAAAACTCAAGAAGGCGCATGGCAGGGTTGGCATCAACATCGACTTTGCCAGTGCGCTCAGCTTCATCCACGGAAGCTTTGAGTGCGTCGACCCATTGCTCAAATTTAACTGGCTTGACCATGCCTTCGGGGTAAGCGGCGAGGAGGTTCTGTCCCAAATCCTCTTCCCAGGAGGAGAACTGTGGGTTGACAACGTGGAAAGTCTTGCTGTGGAGAGGAGCAGAAGAGATAGCACCTGTAGCGGCGTCAAGCTCTGGCTGAGATGCGGTCTCAAGGATCTCGCACAAGACCTTGGAGAGCTTGTCGACTGGGAGCCAATCAATGTGATCTCTGGATGGGAAGGTCTCTGGGACAACACCGAGATGGGCGGATGAGACAATGATAGATGGGATATACTCGTGTTTGTTCCACATCCCCTTTTGTTGTTCTACTGGACCGGCTACGATACCAACACGGCAGACGGCAGTGCGGACACCGGAGATTTGAGCGGCTTTTTCGAGAAGGGCCTCAGCGATAAGCTTGGATTGACCGTATCCCATAGGTGCTGCGGCAGTGAAGTCGAGGATTGGTGCCTCAGGAACACCACCAACTCCCTTGTATCCACCAACGGCGGCAATGGATGAGATAAACATCACGAAAGCGTTGTTAGTAGAGCTGGAAGCCATTTGAGCGAGGTTGCGAACACCGGTGATGTATGGCTTGAATGAGTTGAGAGTCCAGTTGAAGTTGACTGGCCATTGACAATGAAGGACGTGGGTAACATTCTCCAAAATCTTAGTGTAGTTCTCTTGCCCAACGCCCAATTGAGAGTCAGAAAGATCTGCCTTGAGGAAAGTAACTCTCTTGGAATCAATGGGGCTCAATCCTCTTGCAGCGATGGCTTGTTGGTATTTCTCGGCACCACCAGCAGAGCGATCAAGAGCGTAGATGTGCCTAACGTTCGAGTCATTGTTCATCTCATTGAGGAGGTATGAACCCAATGAACCGGTAGTACCAGTGAGGAGAACAGTAGTACCGGTAGTGACTGGTGTGACACGAGGCTTGGACTCGACTGGAAGAGTGGAGACGAATTCTTGGAAAAGAGACTCCATGGCAGTCAATTTAGGATTTTTGATTTCCTTCTCGTTAGGATCGGCACTTTGGTAGGCACTGTCAGGATCTTCAGGTGCCAAATCTGCTGTTTTGTAGAGGAACTCAGAAAGCTCAACCAAAGATGGGTTGGAGTATACAGAAGCTGGTGAAATGGAGTCCGGAGTGAGGTTGTTGCCACCAGTGAGTTTGGCATGGATCTTGAGCTCACGAACAATCTTAATGACATGAAGAGAATCCAAGCCATTTTCAAAAAATGCTGCATCAGGTCCAAGGTTTTGAATGCCAGCAGTCTCCTCAATGAGGTCTTTTAGCCATTTAGCAATATTAGTGCGGTCGGCAAAGTCCACTCGCATATCACCGACTTCACCTTCTTGATCATCGAGATTCTCGGCAGCAGTGTAGACATCCTCGATATCTTTCTCGTACAATCTGTATGTCTGATGTCTTTGGATCTTACCTTGACCAAGGTAGTGCATTGGGCGGCTAGGATCAACAAACAAGATGTGGTATTGATCAAGCTGACCGTGAGCAGGAGCGTGAACATTAGCTTGGGCAATGGCTGGAAGCATGTCCTTGATCAGAGCGTGGCGATCAGCAGCGCTGGCTGGTGGAGCATCCTTGAGGTCGACAAGAGCAGCTGGCTGGAATTTGCCACGACCAACAACCATGGCACCCTTGACGAGAGGACTGCTGCAGAGAGAAGCCTCCATGAGAGCTGGAGCAAGTTTCTCTCCATTGCTGAGGACGATAACATCGTCAGCACGACCTCTCCATTTGTACAAGAAAGGCTTGGCTGGATCAGGGTGGCGAGAGTAGAGATCATTCATGGAGTACTCCTCGAGTTGAGGGAAGGTACTGAAGATACCCTGGTAGTAAAGATCCAATTCAGGCTTTCGCTCAATGTAGAGCTCGTGAAGGCCATCCATGTACTCTCTGAAGACAATGCCAGAGTGAGTTGGATGCCAGTAGAAGTAAGCCCAATCCTCCACGGCAGGAGCCAATCGTGGAAGACAAGCAGTCTCAGTAGCTCCAAAGTTGGAAACAACTCTGCAATGCTTGGAGATGATATCACCGGCAGTCTGGGAGATGGCAGCACCACAGACAAGAATATAGTTGAAGTTGTGGATACGCTCAAGCGATTTGGGGTCGTGGCTCAATTCCTCATAGATAGATGGGGGGCCAATTGAAGCGTCGACACCACTATACTTGTGGATCTCATCGGCATATGCAGCGTGAGGTATGACACTGGCAGAACCGTAAACAGTTGTGACACCGAGAAGGAGAGACATGGTGATACCGATGTTCAAACCACTAGTGTGAAACAAAGGCATGAGGTTGTAAGCCCTGCGAGATTGTTGGTAGACTTCAGTTGTTGGAACATATCCATCGACTGCTGGGATAGTTCTCCAAGCCTCGTATGTGCTGAGGATCTCGTTCTTCCAGGTAATAGGCTTTGGAAGACCTGTGGAGCCGGTAGTGTGAAGAACGAGGCATGGGTCGGTTCGTGCCTCAGCAAAAGACTTGCCGTAGGGGTAGGCGCGGACCTCTTCATCTTCAAGCAACTCTTCAAGTTCTGGCACAGTTGCAGTGCGCATGTTGCGTTGGCTCAAGATGTTCTCGACATGAGTGTTGCGAGCTGTCAAGAAGATGTGGCAGTCGGACTTGTCAAGGACATTTAAAGACCCGGCGACGCTGTTACGGGGAGATAGATACAGCATCTTGTATCCGGCTTTAATAGCGCCGAACATGAAAAGGAAGTAACGAATGTCACCTAGTGGTCATGTTAGTATGATAAGTATGTCGTTGAAGCGAAGGAATATACTCACTGTGGCCTTGGTAGGCGACAGCTGGGAATTCACCAGCGGGGGCTTTCCCGAGGATTGACTCCAAATACCAAGCGGTACGGTTGATTGCATTGGCGAAGGACCTGGCAGATACTTCCACGAAGCCGTCTTGTGGCATATCAGTCTTTGGGTAAGCAAAGATTGAATGATCAGGAACCGATCTGGCAAGCTCATCTGGGATGAGGTGAACCAAACGGGCGGGGTTAGAGTTGGCTGCGGCGAAGGCGGCTGGGACATCAGATCGGAGAGTTCCTTGTTGAGACATGTTTAAAGATGGTTTGAGTGAGTGAAGAAGTTGAAGTTATTAGTATGAAGTATTGTTGGATGTAAAGATGGTTGATTGACTCAAAGAAGCTTTAGTGAAGGTATTGTATGTAGTTGGTTGGATGTCTAAGACTCAAGTAATGGAAAACTACGAAGTGATGTTCTAGCGATGCCTTGATAGAATGTTGAAAATGTTGTTGTTGATGATGATAAAAAAGTATTTATCTCGACAACACCGACAGCTTATATATCACAATCTCGTTGACTATCGACATTAAGTGTAGTGTATACACTTCCCAAACGAGTGTCTCCATATCGTGCAACAGTAGGAATATTCCATTGAGCAGCGATAGTATTCGCGGGGAGCGGACAGCCGGAGCAGAGCTAACGGGCTACTTTCGGCCTACTCTATCTTCAATGATGAGATTCAAGATTCCTATACCAAAGGTGTATGAACACTTCCTGCGCGAGATCTACGATCGCTGTTTAATCTGGAGATGAGATTGGCATGATTGGGAATTCGGGAGCTTGCAAAAATCTCCTAATGACAACATACCAATGGCTACTCCAGGAGTGGTGTTGCCCTATCTTAGTTCGTTACCTTCTACATGGTAGTAACGCTAGTACCATCGCGCCATGGTGCCAATCATACATCCTAGATCTTGCAGGAGTTTCATGATCCATTGCAACAGACGTTGATGGAGCTTCTAAATCGGGACTGCCAGACACGTTCTGGTCACTAACACTCCGCCATAGCTCCCGGAGCTTGGGCCATACATGCAATTGAGTAGCTTTCCCATGTTTTGATTATGTTTGTGGAGCAGGCATTCTAATAGAAAGTATAATCTGATAAGGAGTTCAATGAAACTTTGCTTTAAAGAGTTAGGCTTCAAACTAGAATCGGTTTGTACGAATTGGGATGCTTCGCCGAGGTGTAATGAAAAGGCTTTTGTAAGCCTTGCGTGAGAAA